CCGTAACCTGGCCATGGCTTGACTTTAGTCAAGCCATGGCCAGGTTACGGGGAAGGACGTACAAGTCCGACGATAGAAAACAAGGCGTTGCATGCAGATGTTGCACAGTCACTTCAGCCTTTGGGCTGAAGTGACTGTGCAACATCTGCATGCAACGCCTTGCACGGAGAAGTGATATACAGCAGTTGTGATACTGAGCGTCAGGCTGCCGTTGACATCCCACAGTTCAGTATACCCAGCAAGAAATGAGACCGAGAGGTACCCCCCCCCNGATTCTCTCCGTCTCATACCTTGCTGCATATGGGAATACATGTACATGAATAATTTCTGAATCATTCAATTCAGTTTGCTCTCAAAGGCAGGCTTGATTGCAGGATTATAAAATTTACGGCAGCATTTTCATAAAAAACCTAGAATTATGAAATACATTTCCTGGCTGTTATCCAAAATTATCATACTTGGGATTTATATAGCTCAACTTCCTGGATTTTAAAACTTTCTTCTTTTAAAAATTTCTGCTGTGTTTTAGTAATAATATGTGTTATTATTTTATTAGTTGCTCTCATTCATTCCATCAATTGAAATTGTTCTTATTTGTGTTGGTTCCTGTTCATACTGCATGATTGGTCACAATGATAGTCACACCACACATTTAAAAAAATTGTTTCTGCGTTGATGATAGTATTTCATTGTAACAGCACCTTAGAAAAGTGTTTAGCACAAAACATGCAAGAGACATCCAATGTATGCCTAACAGTTTATCGCAACATATCATCGGCCATTTCGTATTTGAGAAAAATCACTTTCTAAACATACATACAGATAATTGGCAATAGCTTGCAAGTACAGGTAGTTTGTACTTCTCCATATTCATGGCGGGTTATAGATATGTTTATACATAATATCCATGAAAATTGTTAGCTATGCGTTACATATATGTGTTTCATCATTAGGTAATTACTGCCTGTATATATACTGAAAAACTTTAAAATCAAAGATATCTGACAGCTTGGATACTAAGTTTCTTCAAAGATAATGCACTTCTATTTTTGGTGTGAACATTTTGAAAAATAACACTAAAATGAAGAGTCGTGGAAGCATATATTTTATAACTAGGTAGAATCCATATATATGTACATGTAAGGACAGAATTCAGTTGTCCCAATTTGTTGAAAAAGCTTGTATGCAGTAATATTACCTATACAACTATTAAAAGTAGTGGTACTAGTACATAATTTGTTTTTTTTTTGTAGAAATGCTATTTGTTTTGTATGAGTTTCAACCTTTTTAAATATCTAAGTTAATTTTGTTTTATACTGTTGCATGATTGATCATTGTTGCAAGTTGCATAATACAGATTTTGAAAAAAGTTTTTGAAGATCTGCTTTGACATTTTACTGCAAGTAACTGAAGCTAAAACAAAACTTGCGGAGTGCAGTTAGTCACTAGTTACAGTATATTTACTCACGCTTTATTGCATGAAAATTTATCAATTTATCAATCAATTTTTTCAGCTAGCTCAAATGATTTGAAAGAAGAACCTTAACAGCTTTCTTCAGAAACTAACTTCTCATAAATTTATTTTATGAAGTGACAACCTTGAACCTCGCAGGTCTTTGAGAAATGGAGATTTTGTTTGTTTTTTAATATGGAGCACTTTCATATGCATTTTGATTTTAAAACACTTTGCTTTAGTTTTTAAAATTAACACTTATCACTAAAACTGAAATGCATTTACACAAAACCTAATTTAATGTGCGGTGTGTTTATGAAAAATTACTTTTTACCACACAAAAGCTTATATTTTCCCTGTTTTAATTTTTAGAACAGTGCACTTCAGTAACATGAAAAATAAAATCTTTAGTAATTGTTTTCATAGTCATTGCAGACATTTTTACTGCAGTTCCCACGATACTATTATTTATCTACTGAAAACTGTTCACAATGGAACAGTTTTGATAATTGCAAGAGCGTAGCCGGGGGCAATTTTTTTCGGTACCACATTCGCTATGGTCCCTTAGAGTTGAGCATAAAATGGTCATACATGATGCAGGGTTCAAAGGTCAAAAGATGCAAAATCAGCACCTAAATTTCGCGCGTTGTGTACGTGCACGATTTGTACACATGAACATGTATTCTGCACATACACCCACATGCTTGCATGCATATTGGTTTACATCAGCGAGAACTTGAACTTAGTCGGCTTCGTGAACGTCGTGCATGCAGTGATCATGGAGCTTTTTAATAGCTCCATGTAGCGATGACGTCATCGGTGCCCACACTAGCATTTAGGCCCATTGGGGCAGATCCAGGGGGCTGGGGGTACACGCCCCCTCCCCTTTCAACCCCAAAATGAATGAATAAATAACTAATTTAAAACAGAAGAATGGGGTTGGAGAAGAAAAAAGTCATACTGCCTGAAATTGCACAACAGAGCGGCCTAGAATCCCAAAATGCCCCGGATCCTATGCTGTAGGGCATTTTACCATTGCTGCTTTCGTTCACACCCACCCACCCCCTTGGAAAATCCAGGATCACGCCTCCCCCTTTGGGAAAATCCTGGATCCGCTTCTGATTGCGTCGTAGTTGGTGAATTTTTAACTGTTTTGGATGTTTTCAAGTTCCTCCGTGCTTGAATGATCACACCCATACACCCTCATGTTACACCCTGTTCATTATAAATTTAAATGATATTCCTACGCGATTGTAACATTACGGCTAAATTTAAATTCATCTTAAACTTGGGTTGTCCACTTTGAAATAAACTACGAAACCAACAATCTTCATATTTTTAACACACGTAGTCCATTTTAAATAAAGAATTCTGTGGAAAGAGAACTGAGAACTGCATGTAGTCCCTTGTTATTAGCGGAACTGTGTACTTTTTTTTTTGCCCTGTACATGCATGTACATGTACATGAACATATAGGCAGTGGCGTAGCCAGGGGGGTTAGGCTAGGGGAACGTGCCCCCCCCAACCCCCCCCCCCCACTGAAAAAACCAGAGGAATGGACAAGGCCAACAAAAACTTGCACCAAAAATGTTGTTGGCGACATCGATGTGCAGCTACAGTTTGTATTTCTTTCTATGATTTGTCACCCAAGCGTCATTCCGCACAGAGCTAGATTTTCGAGTCCACGTTCATGTACACGTACAATAATCACACAGAAATTTAAAACTGGTAGTGGTACCTGTAGACGTGAGCTTACATGTACATTGTACATGTACTCTGTGCATATGTGCATGTACGGTACATGTACAGCGCGTAAAACACAGGTAAAGCTGACGGCTTGCTTCTGGGTTAAAGCTCTCTCATGAATCATGCATGTATGTTAACTTGGCCCAATAAAACGGTTTTATTGCACCTAACGGGGCCCACCAAATTGCTCTATTTTGGGTGCATTCCACCAAATGGTTGTCTTTCTGCGCACGAGCTCATTAATATTTTGTGATCCCACGGGATTTTTATAATAAGACAGGCCATAATCAGGAGGCATCATAGACATATTTCTATAAATCCCGAATTTAGGACTGACAGTTTTCGGTTCAGGGTATTTCTTTCACGAAACTGAGTCCCAAATTGCGGGCCTATTTTGGATAGGCGCGCGGCTACATTCAGAAATGAGCGCTTAGTTTTACTGCTATTTGGGCGGATACTTCGTTCAAAGGCGAATAAAATTTTCTTTTCGTTGCTAACCCCCAGGAAATTGAAACGAAAAGTGATCTTCTGGCCATAATCTTGAATTTCCAGTGAAACAACGAAGGCCAACCTCTTCACGAGAGTCAACAGGCGGCGCTATTT